CAGGGATCCCCACGCTGCAGGAATTGCCCATGTCCAGGCATTTTCTGTGCTGGTGAGCGGTTTCCCCTCCAGAGCCTTCCTCGGCCATCCTCATCCTCCTCGTCCCCCCCAGCTGTGAGCGGTGTTTCCCCACTGCCTTCTCGGGCAGGGGCCATCCCTGCCTCCATCCCTCAGCATCCCAGGGGAGGACAGCCTGTCCTCGGCTCCTTTTTGCCTTTCCCTGGAGCTGGGGCAGAAGGCAGCCCAGTCCCCTTCCGTCTCCTGCAAACTCCCGCTCTCTCTGCTGGCTTCTGGGGTCGTTGTTCTCTATCACAGGGAGAAAAAGGCAGGGCATTAGGGATAGCGCTCCCGGGTAAGTTCGTCGAGTCCCCGGGTGTCCTGAGAGCTGGCTGAGCACGTGTGAATGGGACTGGGTGACAAAGGCAGTGGGACAAGCTGGAAGGATGAGCTCAGGTGGGAATTGCTGGTGACATGGGCCAGGTGTCTAGGGGCAGCCTGGGAATACTGCACAAACCGCCTGGCTAAAAGAGCACTGAAAGGTGCTGCAAGTACCAGCGTAGCAGAGGAGAAATCCCCGGGGAACCGGAGAAGCTGGCGTGCAGGGGAGAATCCGAAATGAGGTCCCACCTGGAAACCAAAAGTTACCGTGTGGGTACGGGAGAAATCCGAAGCAAAGGTATGAAGCGGTGGTGGCTGGAGGAGACCCAGAGGTGAAGCCAACCAGCGTGTAGAGTCTGAATTTCAGCCCTCCAGGCAGGAGTGTTATCCGCGGCTTGGGGAGAGGGGGGGACGTCTGTGTAACAGGCACCAGCTGGGGCTCAGTTTCAGAACTGAGCGGAGCTGCGAGACAGAGGGACCTGTGTCCATGCCCAAATAGAATTGGGAACTTCAGGCTGTTGCTGGCAGAGTAAATGACTTTTTATTTTGTCTGTTTGTGTCTTTCACTTTGTGCGTCTTTCCATTCACTTCCCAAAGAGTCAGTCTTCGAAGTTACAAGTCAATCTCTATCTAAGCAGCTATGCTGCTGCTTCTCTGTTGCTTGTCAGGAAGGTGGAAAATTTGAGGTATGACTAGAGTGATGTCTCTTTGGTTGGTAAGATATTAAGATTTTTTGCATTTTCCTCTCTCTAGAGCCCCTTGCCCTGCCAGTTTCTGGATGCCAAGCACCTCCTGCTTACGCAGCTGATGAATGCGTGAAGAAGCAGCTGACCAGGATAGGGACTCTTAAGCAGCTGCTAAGATGGGCATGAGGATCAAGTTGCACAGCACCAATCACCCCAACAACCTGCTGAAGGAACTCAACAAGTGCAGGCTCTCTGAGACCATGTGCGACGTCACCATTTTGGTGGGCACCCGCTCCTTTGCTGCACATAAGGCTGTTCTGGCCTGTGCTGCAGGCTACTTCCAGAACCTCTTTCTGAACACGGGGCTGGATGCTGCTAGGACCTACGTAGTGGATTTCATCACGCCGGCCAACTTCGAGAAGATCCTCAGCTTTGTGTACACCTCAGAGCTCTTCACAGACCTAATCAATGTGGGCGTCATTTACGAGGTTGCAGAGCGGCTGGGCATGGAAGATCTGCTGAAGGCCTGCCATTCAACCTTCCCTGACTTGGAGAGCTCAGCCATCACAAAGCAACCCTC